TTTTTTTTTTTTTATATATATATATGTTTTAAAGCTACTTCAAATTGAACTTTGTGTAAAAAAAAAAAATTATCCACTAATTTAGATAAAAAAAAATATATATAAATTTTCACCAAAAATAACAAAAAATGTATTATTTTTAATAAAAAAAAATTAAAAACTTTAACACACTTCAATATAAATCACTTATTAGCATTAATTAACAATTAAAATAATTAATTAATCTTTTAGACCATCCTTGACATAAAGTATCACACTAAATTAATGACTAATAACAAGAGTATAATATCAGGCTGAAATATTTAATATGTTTTTTTTTTTTTTATTATTATTAATATGATAGAGAAGATAGAAACAAAAATTTCAGTAAAATAAGATAATTACAGTGATTATTGATTAAATGTTGATTATGTAGGAACTATGTTTAAAAAAATACCAAATTAAACAAAATTTATAGTGATTAATTATGGTGGAAAATTTATAATAGTCCTATAATTTTATTAGTGTTACTAGAAAAAAAAATATTTGTATTTAACTATATTAAAATATTCAATAATAATTAGTTTTTTTTTTTCAATATGGTAGGAATAATTTTAATAACTCTCTTAAACTCCAAAAATAATAATTATAATAGTAAACATCAATAAATAACTAATAAAGTATTACTATGAGTATATATATATTATTTTTTTTTTTAACAAAAACCACAATTTTCTAGCTAGGCTTTTCTTTTTCTTTATTTTTTTTTTTTTAATAATTATATGTATATATGTATAAGTAACCAATTCAAAATTTTTTTTTTTTAATCCCTATTCAATTACCACACAATTATTTAATCTTGAAAACCTTTTTTTTTTTTTAATTGTTATATTCTAAACACTTTTGGTAATAGTAACAAACCAAGTACTACAGTATAATTATTTGTTGCTATATAATTAAGATTTTCAGTATATTAACTAAAGTAAAATGTATTTATTAATAGGTATGTTTCACCTATTTTGGCGCAAACTAATGCCTATTTCGGCTCTTTAGCTGCCATACACCTAGTCTATTTCGACTTTTTGTTTTTTNTAGGTATGTTTCACCTATTTTGGCGCAAACTAATGCCTATTTCGGCTCTTTAGCTGCCATACACCTAGTCTATTTCGACTTTTTGTTTTTTTTTTTACATTTACCAAATTATTACCGAATATCTTTCTTTTAATAATCCCAAAAACTCTACATTAGGACCTAAGGTTGTCACGTCCTCTCATGTCCGGGCGCCAATGAAATGGTATTTAATTTATTTTACAAATTAAAAAA